AAGACAAAAAAAATACACAGCAAGCTTGAACCTTTCAGCATGTGGTGACTCGGTGCTGATCACGAATGGTCAAATGAAATCTACACGTAAAGTATGTGGAGTTTCTGATTTTGGGAAAAGGTGTTTCTTCATTGTGCATATGGTTGGTAGCAAAACTGATGATGAAGTCTGAGCACTGAATGCATATATACAGCGAATGCGGGCATAAATATTACGTGTTCTGATTACTTGAGTATCAAGTTGACTGGTGATTAGTTTAATCCTAATGAGCATGCATAACACAGATTTGCACTTTCCTCTATTTGCATTGATTAAACTTCAGCTCAGTGGCAATGAAAAACACAAAAAGTGAGATGAGGAAAATAGTTTCCTAAAGAAATAGGTGGAGATCTATTGGCCAGTACACATTAAGCTGGGATTAGATGCATGTGGCAAATCCTTTGCCAGAGATGTATTTTCTGGTGCCGAAAGAGATGACGCACCGCTGGGACTGAGAATAATATTGCTTTTAAATAGATTTGTGTTTACACTTTTCACTACTAATCTTCTGTCATAATATCGGATTTGTAGTAAAGATAAACTTCCTGAAACATCTCGAGTCCTACTGAGTGAACATGAAAATTAGCCACTAAGGTTTGTTCTAAAGTATAGATGTTTTACACAAGGATTTAACAAATTAAAGATAAAATTAGATTGCAAATTGAATATTTAAGAGATGATTTCCATCTCAATTTTCAACTAATAAAGTTGGAATCAAGTCATTGTTCAACCCCACTTGCTTAATTGGTTGTTTCTTTCATTCCTTTTCGCCACTTTGCCTTCCCCAGATTCACGAGTCATTACGCACAAGGTTCGCCACAAAGCTCCGTCTTTCTACTTTGTGATGATGAGATTCTTGAGATCAGTTGTTTGCCCTTTTCTATTTTATTTCAGAGAACACCACCAATTTGGAATATATACCACAATGGCTTTTCCACTTTGTGATATAATCATTGACTGGCAAGAACATGATCCATGATCTATCAGATATATATCATATATGCACCAAGAGATCACCACCAGCGCTGTCGACCTGGTTTATCCTTATTCAATCATGAACATGAACATGTGGCGATTATCGGTATTAGACTCTGTAACAGTCGCTTCGGCGTCACAACGATGTACCTTTAGTTAAGGATAATGATTCCCTAGATTTGGTTAGTACTTACCATGGGACTCTAGTGCTACTCCCATCCTGTTTTAATAACTAGTTTTCCACGTAATGCTAGCTAAGCCTAATACCACTGGTTTTTCATAGTACTGCTGATCAGGGCCGGCGTTGAGAATTTGGGGGCCTAGGCGAGCCTTCAAAGTGGGGCCTTAAAATTCTTTAACTTCCGGTTCCTTGTATATTGATTTGTACAAAAAAAAATTTGCTAAATACATAAAAAGTTCTATTTTCAAATCAAATATCATTAAAAATTAATATCAAAAGAAGATAAATATACAAACATTATTTAAACATTACATGATTCACGTTTTTGGACACAAATGTACTAAATGTTTGCAGTCAAGAGTTTAAGATTGAGAGTGAAGAACAATAAAACTTGTTAATTAAGAGAGTAAATAACAATAAAACTTGATTGACGAGTATAATAAATTCAACGCCAATTGTTTCTCTTGTGTTTTTTTTCTTCTAAAATCAACATCACATTATCGAATTGAATATTAAAATAATCCATTGAATAAAAAGTTATTGAAAAGAAAAATATAAATTCAAAGTTTTGATTACCTTAAAGTATAATCTTTAAGACCATATGATAGTTGGTTTAAACATTCAATAGAAATGGAGAGAATGAGAAGTTTGTTTGAACATTCGATAGAAATTGAGAAAATGAGAAGTTGAAAGAAAAAAGATTGCAAAGAGACTTGAGTTTTATAACTTTATATGCATTTGGACAGATGGATTGACAATAAATTTGAAAAACAAGAAAAATCAAGTGACTGAAAAGCAACTTCATGTTTCAAACTCAACACCCCAAAGAAAAATGAAGCCAACATTTCCACTGCACTAACAAATGAAATATGATATTTCTTACTTTTTTTTGTATTTATATGTTAATTACAGGATAGAAATATTTTTTGGAGGCCCTTCCGAAGTGGGGGCCCTAGGCAGGCGTCTACTTGGGCCACCCTCATAGCCGGCCCTGCTGCTGATTGATCTCCCTCTATATCTGCTCTAATCCTATAGATTGATAATTTTATATTAGAAATATACCATTAACTGCAATACCTAATTGACTCTTCGCGGATAAGAAAATGCTAAAAATGTATTGACCTTTAATTTACTGGGTAGTTCTTTCCTTGTGTTCTTGGACTCGTCGTGCTAGTTGCTGTGGAAGAGCTGAATCCTTCCACAATGTAAAGTTATTTGCCAAACAAATTTCAATTATTACATGATATATGCAAATCCAAGATGACTAGTCAAAAGTTAATTACTTGTCAAGTCATCCAATAAAAAACCGATAAAGATTTATTGTTGAGATTCATGAGAATATAAATTAATAACATGCCTTGTATATTTATTATTTTTACCTTCCTTAGTTATTCATTGTATTGGTTATTAGTTTTGAGTTGAATGTCTGAATTTATCTATTAATTAGGTGACCACACAACATCACTGAAGTAAATTCGTCACATCTACGTTTGAAATCGTCGTATTAGGCTTCGGAATTAAATATGTGTATTGTTTTGAACTCATTCACTTACACTATGTTTGGATGAAGAAAATAAACTTGGAATTTTGATAAAAGTCAGAATTTATAAATTGACATGCACCTAATTTCTTTGTTTGGATTCATAAACATAGAAATTTAGAATTTCCGCGTGGAAAAAAACTTGGAGATTGGGACCTCCAATTCCAAGTTCAAATTCCATGTAAATAGGTGTCATTTCTCAATTTCTATGATTGAGAGTTTAAAAATAACAAATTCCATATTCAATTCCATTGTTCTTTTAGGTTAGCCAAACAAGAAAATTTACAAATTCTAGAAAATAAAATCTCGTCATTTCAATTTCCGTCATTTTTAAATTCCTTAGTAATCTTAAATTTCTTCATATTTGGACTGGACTAGCTTTAGGGACTGAGTTGGATTGACTTAGAATAGACTAAGCTAGACTGACTTAGGGCTGGTTTGGTATTGCTGTGCTTTGAAAAAAAAAAACTATTTTTGCTGTGTTGTGAGAATAAACGGCTAGTGAAATAAAGCAGAGTATTTGGTAAACTTTTTTGTAAAAGTGCTTTTGAAAAAAAAAACAGTATTATAGTGTTTGATAAACTTTTGAGTAAAACATATATGAAAAAAACTAATTTTTCAAAGCTGGGTTTTGCAGCTTTGTGTTTTTGGCTTTTTTTCACCCAAAATTGTGAAAAAAAGCTAAAACTCAATGTTTACCAACCATAAAAAAGCTTCCAGTAGCAAATTAGAGCTTAGTGAAATGTTTGTCGCAATATTGGACTAAGAAGTAGGATAATATAAATAAGTGGAAAATTGATTTTTTTTTTTTTTTAACTAAAGAAATCTAATGCCAAAATAATGTTGAATACCACGCCATCAAAAATTGTATCAGTTGATAAAATTTACCCAAATTTGTTGTCATTTTCTAATTCACCTTAAAAAATAAAAAACAATTCCCAACCACATTCCTCATCTCACCGACTGCCTGCCATGGCTATTGCCTTTTCCAAGTGCCCAGCTCATGGATCATTCTAGTTTCAGAAGAATTAATCACAACCCCTCCAAATCTCAAAACCCTCTAAAGCGCTCTCTCTCTCCCTCTCTCTCTCTCTCTCTCTCGCTCGCTCTCTCTCTCTCAACAAAACAATGGTGGAAATCAGTATCCCAATTGAACGTGCAAAGTGGGCTGATATGAATTTGATTAGTACTCAGTTCAATTACTCGATCCAAAACATTGAGCAAAAAGCATCCAACCACCAAACTGAAGATCGAATAAACACAATCATATCCTGACCCAAATCAGCAGAGAAAACACGGACTGGAAATTGAGAGAGGATAGGGAAGAAAACCCCCTGGCCGGCGTCGGCCTGGGCGAGCTTGAAGGTAAATCGAATGCGGCCAGAGCAGGATCTTCCTCGGGGGGTTTCACCACAGTCGGAGCTCTCTGCAGCTGCAATTTGGTTTTTGTTTTGCAGCTGCCGTGGCTGATGATCGAGTTGGCCATCTCTGCAAATTGATGAGCCGAAGATGACGAGGACGTGATATGAGTTGTCAGTCGGAGATAAAGGACGCGAGAAAGAGGACGAGGACGCGAGAGACGTGGTCTTAGCAGTCCCATGGTTTGCGGGAGGACTAGCTAAGACCGTTTAGCGAAGTCGGTAGTCGGCGTAGCTAAGCCCATTACAACTAGTCCCTTCCAATAACAAACATGGAACTTCACTAGTTTTTAATCTAATTCAGTCCAAGTGAGACTTATTACTGGTTTGATACTGAGGTACTTTTATAAAAAATTGGTATCAAAAAATGTTGAGCTCAAAAAAATGTTTGGTAAACACTTAAAAACAACTTATTTTCACAATTTTGAGTGAAAAAAAGCTAAAAAACGTAAAGCAGCAAAAATGAGCTTATTCTCACAGCACAACAAAAATAATTTTTTTTTTCTTTTCAAAACACAACAATACCAAACCAACTTTTAGCGATGTCAAACAAACGCATCCTTTAGATTGTTCATCAGTCATCACTAACCCACACACGAGAATGGACGTACCACTTATCACACTTTCTCCTGCATGAATACCCTAGTACCATGAGCTTACCTAATTAACCCACGTCAGATGCCAACGCCAAATTCGTCAACGAAATAAAAATAATTACATTGCCACGTAAGACTAGTCTTCCAAATCTACTTTCTTTTTCTTTTTTCCTTTTTTTTTCCTTTCAATTTTGTTATCATCCTCGAATGGTTTATTATAAATAGAAACATCTGGATTTGCTTATGTTTCATCTTTGTTTTATGGTAGCTGTCTCTGACTCTCTTGCTAAGCTATAGTTTGTGTTTTGTACTTCCATATATACAACAGTACAATATGAATATTGTATCAAAAGCGACGGCTTTCTTTGTTTTGGCTCTCGTTGCACTGCTGTTTGTGGAGCCTGTTTCGGGTAGAACGAAAAGGGCTAGTACTGAGAAACTGAACAACAACTCATTGGGGACTCAGGACCTTGTGACCAACTTACCCGGCCAGCCTGCTGCAGACTTCAAGCACTACGCTGGCTATGTGACCGTGAACGAAACAAATGGGAGGGCTCTTTTTTACTGGTTTTATGAGGCTGCCTCCAACCCAGACGGAAAGCCTCTTGTGTTGTGGCTTAATGGAGGTGAGCACTGTCAAAACTGTCTATTATATATGATCAGTGCCTTAATCATGGTGATATCTGACTGAAACCACTTAATTAATTTGATTACGCCTGAGGAAAATTTTTATAAATGATCAACTTGTTTCAGGATTTTAAACCTAATCATCTTATATCAGGGGAAATTATTAATCGATCAACTTGCAATTATGTTTTTAGTGTTATAGATAGATTCCATGCTACATATATATATATATATATCCATCTTTTGACTAAGTATATATGCAATTATCTATATTCCAAATACATAATCTTGCATGTGTGGAGGAGGAAGCAAAGTACAGGTTCCTTGATATCTTCATGTTTCCTAATCTTTAGACAGTTCCTCATGCTATATATATATATTAAACATTCTAATTTTGTGTTAATAAAAAATTACATAAAATTTGTATTAGATTATCGGGTGGTTAACTCTCCTATTGTACTTGCTTTAGTGGAGGTCATCCCTTTGTCCTTTCCAACTCATCCAAAGAGTTTTCAATGATTCACAATCCGCATCTACAACTTTTTGCTTCATATGTTATATGCTGAGGTGACAAGATTCTTTATGTTTCAGGTCCTGGGTGCTCTTCTGTGGGATATGGAGCAACCCAAGAGATTGGTCCATTCATAGTGGACACTGATGGAAGTGGAATTAAATCTAATAACTACTCATGGAATAAAGGTATTCGGTACTTTCAAATTAATTTCATTATCAAACAATACGTTACAAGAAACAAAAAGAAGATTATATATCAAGGCATGGTTGCGCCTAAAACTCCGTCCTGCTATGCAATTAGTTGTTCATCTTTCTTTTTCAGTCTCTCTTATCATGTGACTGGAAACAGTTAGGGGGAAAAATCATTGGTTGCTTCCAAGGTTCTGCCTTACTTTATGGAGAATTTTACCATCCAACTGGTTTTATATCTTCTCGTTTTATCTCTCGCATTAAGTGACCTAGTCATATGATGGGAGAAATAGAAAGAAGGGGATATATCAATGATTGTACCTAAGATTCTATAATATGTTTTACGCTTAAACATCTCATTTGCTTTTCTATAACTGTGCCCCCTAAAATTTGCATGCGTATGACGCAGAGGCCAATATGTTATTCTTGGAATCTCCAGTTGGGGTTGGCTTTTCATATTCTAATACAACTAGTGACTATGATAATCTCGGCGATGAGTTTACAGGTCAGTTAATTACTTCAGAAATTGTTTGCTATGTATTTCCCTAGCCAACGGTATTACTATACTTGCAATAATAAACAAGTATTACGGTTTATATTTAATTTCCAAACGTACGAATTTATATATTTTGACCTAATATGAGTCTAATGACTATTAGAAGATTTTAATCTGGTTTTCTGATTTGTTTTTATTTTGTTCCTTGGATTATTTAATTCAGCGAATGACGCGTATAACTTCTTGCATAAGTGGTATCTCAAGTTCCCAACATACAGAACAAGGACCTTCTACATTTCTGGGGAGAGTTATGCAGGTATGTCACTCTCAGTTCCTCACCCTTTTGATCATGTGCTGCAACTGAACTTCCTTTGTATACCCTCATTCTTCTCTCTGTTTTTTTTTTTGGTTAACAGGAAAGTATGTTCCAGAGCTCGCCGAGCTCATATATGACAAGAACAATGATCCTTCCCTTCATATTGATCTCAAGGGTATCCTGGTATGGTCATTTGGGAAACAATAAAAAGGATCCAGCTCCGTTTAGATATCAAATTAAAAAAAAATTAAGTTATTTAAATTTCTTGTGTTTGATGTACAGTTGGGTAATCCTGAAACATCTGATGCTGATGACTGGAGAGGTCTGGTAGATTATGCTTGGAGTCATGCTGTGATATCAGACGAAACTCACAAGATAATACGCGAAAGCTGTGATTTCGACAGAAATGATACTTGGAGTAACAAGGATTGTACTCTTGCTGTGGATGAAGTGCTAAAACAGTACAAGGAGATAGATATTTACAGCCTTTACACCTCGGTCTGCATTGGTGATACGGCAAGCTCAACTGATGGTTCGATGCAGGTCATGATGAAACGCACATCTACGATGGTGAGTAAACATTTATTAAATTTATTTTATAAATCAGGACAGCGATATACAGATAAATTATGTCCTTAATTATACAGCGATACACATATCAACTTGTTTCACTAGAACATGCATACGAATTTTTGGTTCAACATATGTTTTAGGCACATTTAGTTAAAGTTCATGATTTGTTCTTATCAGATGCCAAGGATTATGGGTGGCTACGATCCATGTCTCGATGGATATTCAAAAACCTTTTATAACAGACCAGATGTGCAAAAGGCCCTCCATGTTAGTGATGGTGTCCGGCTCAAGAACTGGACCATCTGCAAGTGATTACCGTTGCCTCCCTCTCATTGTTTTCTGAAAGTAGCAGTTATAATTCATTTTAGCATGTTTTCCAAGGTTATTTATCTCTAAGGTGTGTATATTCAAGAAATACCAACTTGCTGAGAACATGTTCTTCAACTATTTTGGTTGCAGCGAAAAAATATTTGAGGACTGGGCATATTCGAAGCCTTCCGTTCTTCCTATATACAAGAAACTCATTGCAGCAGGACTTAGAATATGGGTGTACAGGTAGATGTTCCCTGCCTTAACATCTTTCATTAGATAACATATGATGAAAACTATAAAACCTGGCTCATGTTTTTCTTTTTCGGATGGCTCAGCGGAGACACAGATGGAAGAGTTCCAGTGCTTTCCACAAGATACAGCTTAAGTGCTCTAGGATTGCCTATTACTAAGGCATGGAGGCCTTGGTACCACGAGAAGCAGGTAATTAGTTAATTAATTAGATAGCCTTAATAATTGAAGTTGGCATAAATAATTAAAATTTAAAACTATGACGATATTTTAACTTTTTTCTTTCGCTATTAATTAAACTTTACCAAATTAAACTGGGATTGTGACATATATTGCAGGTTAGTGGATGGTTTCAAGAATATGAAGGTCTTACATTTGCAACATTTAGAGGAGCTGGGCATGCAGTTCCCTGCTTCAAACCAAGCAACTCACTGGCTTTATTCACGTCTTTTCTCCTCGGCGATCCTCTCCCAACTGCTCGAGTATAACTATAGTAAAGTCAGTAATGCTGATAATTAACCAAGAAAATCCTATATGGATCTGTGTAGGGCTCAAAAAGATTTTTGCTCTTAGTACTATACCAACTATATATTGCTTGGCTACATGTAGTTGAAGACCATAGCCGAAATAGAGAATAAAAAAAATGTTAGTTAACACATCAAGAGGGGTAAACCCTTCAAATATTTCTTATGTAAAAGAAGGCACTACGTCTCAAGAAATTACGAGTATTGAATACAAAACCTCGAATGCAAAATACACCCTTTAAATATCATTCTCATGCCTTGGTACCTAATTTTCCGTAGTACCTGTTGGTGAGTTTGAAAGAACTTATCTTGCAATTACTAGTTTTGTTTGATTGGGCTCAATGGAAATTATGCTACCGTCATGGAATTGTAAGTTTAAATATAGCGGAAACAAAAGAACTCAACATATCCAATTAACCACTAACCTTGTGAAGTCATGTAGAAAATAAAGGTTCTTCAATGGGGCTCGATCTTTCCTGTTTGCCCTTTTTTTTTTTTTGCGAGAGTAGGAACTCTTTATTTACAATGTAAATAGTGGTCTTTGATAAGGATACTTCCTGTCATGTAATCCTTATCAAAGTTATCAATTTTGATAACCCTTGTCACTAATATCCAAATCATCCATATTAGAATGGTTGACACCAATTGCACTGTGACTTCTTTAGGTTATATTTTAGTCTTTATACATTCCTTAATAACCAACAAGTATTGTCATACATAAACTCTTATGATCTCAATCCCTCATGCACGTGCTAAACAAGTATGCAACTCTCATTAAGCTTACAGGAATGGCTCAAGGGTAATTTCATTTTGCATAGTTTCTTTTGATACATGCAATATGGGAGGCAGAGGGAGTTAAACGCAAGACTTCAAGTTCAAGAATAATTAAATGCTCTTAATCACTTGAACTACAAGTCTTTTATGGTTTTTGTACAATTTTAAGCTACACAGTCGGTGCACAAATGAAAGAGCGACCATGGGCCGAGGCATCGATTTATAACATTGATTGTGACTAAGGGAAACGAAAATATCTCCTGGTGAAAGATAATATCGCCTTTTCAATGTTTGAGATGATTGTGATACGCCTATACAGGGTTTTGGTGAAGTTCAACGTACATATAGAAGGATTAATTCCAACAAGAAAAGCTTTATCCACAGACGACTTTCGTGCCCGGTTTTGATATCTATTCCAAAAAAAGGAGGACTAATTATTTGGATCTTTCTTTATAAATATAATTTGTCATCTTTCTTAACTAAGGAAAATGATTACTTACAAAGCTTGTTTAATTAGATAGTAACGGAGATATGATGTCTTCTTATAGCGAAAGTTATTCCATGGATCATGTACAAAATACAAATATCTCATCCTTACAAAATTCTACATAAAAAAAATCGTACTTTTTGTACAATGAATTTGAAGAAATTCAACCCTACATAAGTTGAGAGACACTTCTCACCAAAACAAAAATAAAATAAAATAAAATAAAAAATAAAAAATAAAATAAAAAACCCCACCGTATGTGATCCTATTCAGCTCCATATATTTCACCACCCTTTATCTGTTATGCCCTACAAGAATCTGACGAACTTGAGACCCTATATTGTTCGTTTATTGGACGTACAATCAGGATTTAGGGTGAATAGGCGAATGACACGTACGCTTTGAATTGAAATCAATCACGAAAACGCGATAATTAGGTGGGAGTGCTTTTGAGATAAGCCAATGCCAGGGCGATACATAATGTGCTACAATTCTAGAAAAAATTAGCTAGGATGAAACATTCTATCGTGTAATCAAATGCCAATGTTTGCCATATTGACATTTCAAACCCAAAATCTCATCTTGAAATCAACAGCTGATAGCGACAAAGAATAATCATGCGTCATTTCGTGGAAAATATTGGCCTCGCTAAAGAGATTTTTTAATGTAATCGTTACACGAGATGGTACAATACGTATCTCTATATAAATGGTAGGTTATGTGTGTTAAAAGGTTAATAACTTAAAAATTAAAATTTTCCACCACTTGCATAAAAACACTAACATGTGATGTATCATTCGTGTTCCCGTCACAACTAAAATTTTCTGACCTCACTGATTCTCTCCTAATTTTCCATATCTTAATATATTATTTAATTAGGCTTTGTTTCCTATATAAAAGTTAGATTTGAACCACTTGGCTATCAATAATCACACTGAGTCTTTTTTTGTTTTTTGTTTTTTTCCCATATTATGATTTGTGTCCATATAATATGTTCAGAAATGCTAAGGGACTCTCCACGGTCTCTTAGCAACCTTATATTTTTTGTACAATATTTTATAATGTTGATACGATAATTAATGTTATACTATGAGGTGTCAGAGAATTCATAAAAAATTTCACTTTTGAAATAGTCTGTTTAGCATTTCTCTAATATGTCTTATGAAGTCTCCAAAATTTTTGTGCCAATACTAATTAATTAATTAATTAATTAATCCTATTGATAGATTGGAGAGACTTTTCAGTCTTTCCGCAACACGAAGCATAATTCTTTGTTATTATACAATTAGAAGAAAGTGTATTGTTTTCAAGTGTCTCTTTAATTATATAATGACACGTGGTGTTCCGTCTCGTGTTTCGGACACACTGAAAAATTTATCGATAAATTGTTGTTTTTTTTAAGCATAAACGATTGCATTAAACTTTAGAATCAAATACAACTCGATCGTGGAAGAAAACATCATGAATAGCGTCGAGTCGCACCCCATTACATAATTAAAACTCTTATTGATAAAGTGTTTAAGTTTTATAAAAGTATAACAGCATACAATGATGTGAGTTTACATCAATATTCCAAAAATATATGAAATGATATCCCTTTTGTTTTGGTGAAAAGTATAAAATCATATCTTTTAGTTATAGATGAATTATTCCTTCATGTTAAAAGAGATTTTGGAGACCACTAAAGAAATTAAAAGAAGGCTGTGGTAGCCGATAGCTAACCCTAGCTAGTCAAAAGAAAGAGTATTGAAGACTATAATACTAAAGAAACAAAGAAGCCTCGTGTGTAGTTTGCTGCATGCTAGCTAAGGCGATCTCTAATGCACCGACAAAAGTTAAGAGTCAAAAGTTGGTATCATATTCAACTTTGGTGCTATATGTAAAATCATAGTGATTTGGCTATAACTCTAGAGTTAAAGGTGAAACCCCACCTTTAAAAGATACGAATGTTATATTTTACTTCTAAAAGTAATTAACTCCATATGCATTGAAAATTAAACGTTAAATTGGATTTTATATGCATTTAGAGTCAAAATAACTTTATAATTTTTAACTTTTACCTTTGTAATTAGAGGAAAGGGATCCTCTTTGGATCCCTTCCTCCTAATACACCAAGTCTAGGGATTCGGACCATTGAAATTTAATCCAACAAAGTTATTACAACTTTTAAAGTAGGCTCCTGTTTGAGCCGTTAAATCAAATTTCAATAATATAGATCCTCGAATTTAGTGGATCAGGAGGAAGGTATTCAGAAAGGATCCCTTTCCATAATTAGAGATAACGTCATTACTCTACAGAAGATTTTTTTTTTTAAGTGAAAAAGTATTATAAAAAAACAATGCAAAACAGCCAAAAAGTCTGGCTTTTAATTGAAGGTTTTTGGCTTTCAAGATTCCACTCATCATTACAATTTAGTAGTATTTATTTATTTATTAGTGGCATGTTTTAAGTTTGATTTCCGTAAATAGATATTTCGATACTAAATTATTGTAGTTGCCTCATTATGTGGAGAAATTTTTTATTATCATGAAAACACGGATGGTACATCACATGTTTTTATGTAAATGATGAGAAATTTTATTTTTTATGTTATTATTTTATTTTTAAGTTATTAACTTTTTACCACACATATCCCACCATTTATATAGTGATATGTGATGTATCATCTCGTGTGCCGGTCACACTAAAAAATCTTTCCATTATGTGACTCAACTCAAATCTTTTACCTCTTGATGTAAATATATGTTTTGCTCAAGATCCCTAAAACAAATCGAACTGACTACGGGTTGTTCTGTAAATTTGAAAATTTTCACGGTATATTAATGGAAGTGCACATAAATGTAAACAACATCTCAGATGGGTTTATTCATAATTGAGAAACATCTCATGTGGCTTAAGGAATGGCGATGATGGCTAGAAGTCTCTTACGATAATTGCAGATATGGCACATCAAGGTTTCTACATAGTAATTCACACCTAATACAAATTAGTGTTGGATAAACCATGCATCAAAATAAAAAAATTTCCAATAATATCTACGTATAACAGATTTTACACTGCCTATGTAACAAGTATATATATAAGTTGAGAGTGACACTAAACTAAAAATTAAATTACATGTTTTTCAACAAAATCAAAATAAGATAAAAATATATGAAACGTTACCCGTATATCGTCGCTGGTTAAAATCCAACAATTCTGATTCTGCATCTTAAACCCACCATCCAAAACCAAACTATGAATTCCAGTTCATGCTTGGGAGTTGAAACTGTGGGCGCAAAACCTCATCTCCTAGTGAACCAAGAAGTGCAGGATTAGGGTAGAACGGCGCCGTACCCTGTGGCATCTGATTCAGCATGGAAACAAATGAGTTGTTTTCACTGTTGAGATCAGCTTGAAACCTTTTGCTCGATGAAGTAGTAGTAGCGGCAGCAGCAGACCCTATCGATCCCACGTCGTTCCAAAATGGCGATGAAAGTTGACGTTTCAAGGGTATGCTGGTTTTTGAGCTTGAAGTTGATATGGCTCCAAACTGATCATGATCATGGTCATGATGATGAGAATGAGAGCCTTGTTGATGATCGCTTGACGATAGTATGCCCTCGAAAAAGCTCTCGTGATAATCGCTTTCAAGCAACGCCGTGTAATTTGTAGTTGGCAGCTTTGATGACAGTGGTGGCGGGAACGGCGGCGGTTTTTGAGTTGGCAATATTGATGGGTGGAGAAACATACCCTCTTCCATAGAACTATTAGAGTCCTCGGCCTTGTGAAGAAAATGATCACCCTCCATAGACATCGTAGGCCTTTGCGCATTGTTTTTCTTATAAACCCGGCACAAAACCCAATCATCAAGCTACAACAATAACATGACCAACAATACATTATTTAAAAAAAAAAATTAAATAAATAAACCAATTAATAGATCATACAATCATTAAAAAAAAAAAAAATGAGCGCAAGATATATGTGGCACAGGATGGCCCGAGTGAGTGCTATTCATAGATGAATCCCATACGATACGTTTTAGTTTCGATTATTGACTATGGTGAATCACACGATGACAGTAGAAGAAGGCTGAAATATCTTTGTAGAAGGAAAAAAAAAGTGCTATCCATGGACCGTGTTTGATAACACGATATGCCGTACACTTTCAGTCAATCCGTCTTGTGCTACAGGTATATGTCAAATATATATGTTGTACAAAAAAAACACATACCCTTAGGGAGGCTTTCTTGTTCGCTGCATCAGAAGGCTTAGTGGTACTAAAACTCATATTGGCGGTTGTGGTGTTGTTGATAAGGCGATACTCATGCATAATCCAATTGGTTTTAATCCCTTTTGGGGGCTTCCCTCCATAGAAAACAAGAGCTTTTTTCACACCGACGTTGTGGTTTCCGATTGATGTTAGAATAGGCTTATCGGTCCCGGTTGCCTTCCAATATCCTGAAGTTGCTGCCCTGTTTGGCCGTGCCCCATTCGGGTACTTCCGGTCCCTTGGAGTGAAAAAATACCACTCTTGCTCCCCAAATGTTGCCTTACCTATATCACCAAAACCAAAATCAAAATTTTCCCAAAAATTGAAATATAAACGCGAATTAGGTCAGTTGGACATGGTTGTGTATCTAGTAGACAAAAGCAAAAAACGTACTTGGTAGTTCCCATGGATCAAACTTGTACAAGTCTACCTCTGCGATGATGGTGACCGGAAGCGGGATGGAGGCGGCCTTTTTCTTGAGGTAATGGACCACCAGTTCTTCGTCCGTCGGGTGGAAGCGGAACCCCGGTGGGAGCTGCGGGTGCGGTGAACCCGATGATGAATCTGTGCTCTCCATCAAAACTACTCCCTCTTTACAAATGATTAATTTTTGAGAGAAAAGAAGAATACAAATATGAATTGATGAAGAATTAGAGAGGGTTTGAGGGTTGGCAGTGGGGGCTGGATACTAGGAATGGGAATGGGGTTGAGGGAGTGTGGCGGTTAGGTACTAATATAAAAGACACAAGCGGCACCGGTGATCCGTCGACACGTGGATTTGTTACGCAAGGATTTGGAGACACGTGGAAGGAAATGAGGGGTGGGGACCACGAATATGTAAAGGCGGGTGATGTGAGGGAGAAACGAAATGGGGGAGGGGCATGTTTTGTGGGTCGGAGGTTTGGAACTGCCTGTACGCCTTTCATGTCATGCTTTTCTTGTCGAACGGCCAAACACTCCCTCCAAATAACAGATTTTATGTGTGTGTAAGAGAGAGAGAGAGATAGAGTCAGTCTGCACGTGTGTATGGTGTAGATTCCATTTTCTTAGTTTGTTGATAAACTGAAAACGTAAGAGAAAATTACACCTACCTCTTGCTCTTGTCTTTTACTTTTGTTTACCAGGTGATTGAGTTTAGGGTGGTGTTATCCACAAATTCTTTTTAATTTCGATACACTTTTCTTAATTTTTGATTTTTGGTGGATTGAATAAATTGAAGAGTATCGCATGACGTAAATTAACAGAGTGTGAAAGGTAATGAGTGTGTGGATATCATTATTCTTGAGATTATTGCTTGCCTATGTGATTGATTTTTTTTTTTTTTAACTATTATGAGAGGAAGGAGGAGAGTTTGAAACTATATAATAATTAGGGCGAGATAGAGTTTTGAACCCGAAACACATAAACAAAAACTCAACACTCTATCCACTAGGATATTGGACTAAATGTATCTACGTGATTGACTTGTAATTAACACAGCGACAAACTTTATTCAACCTTCAATGAATTCATAATCACACAGATAATATGTTCACTTATTTGAAATACGACTAGGTATGATAAGTTTAAGAAGAAATATGTATTGAGTGATCAAATTTTCAATCTAAAAAAAACTGATCAATCTCATTTCTTTTTTTATTTATAAGAAACTAACTAATCTAATTTCTTGATCACTAGAACAATGTATCCATTTAACACATAATAACACGGCCTAGCTATAGCTAGAAGATTCAGTTGAATGTTATTTTCTAATTTCCATATAGGTAATTAAAAAGCAATCATCTCTTGGCTCATTTGGTTATATTATTACTTTAATTTCTACATGTCAGCACATGGACGACGTGCATTTCTACTTCGTGGAATCAATATTTAGGCCTAATCATGCAAGCATGGACTTTGACTATATGAACGGTCCATGTTATTTTTTCCTGTCAATTTGCTTTGAATAACCAAACCATCCATCACTATCCACAAATTAGACAAAAAAAATGAGGTCATTTGCTTTGCTTCTGTAGCTTTATATATTTTTGCAGTTTTGCTTCTGCCCATATCGCATTGATCTGTGACTTGGGATGCTTTGTGCATCACAAAATCCAAACTTTGCTGATGAGATGTATTTAAAATTGTTAATAGCCATGTGGCATACATAATATAAGCTCTATCTTAGTGATCGGTGATCAGCCTATGATTGGGGCATGTGGAATTAATTTCATCATTATCTGATGTTTAATTAAAAGCTTATTCAGGGTCAACCATAGAGTTGATATGCACGATGATGATACACTTTCTCAGATGTAGTCAGATAATCCGATTTTTAAATACGTACTAGTGTGTTAATTGGAATGCTTTTTGGAAGAGCTAAAAAATCACTATATTTTTGAATGAGAAACTTAAACCGTTTATAGGCTAAGAAGCGCTTTCTAAAAATATTTATTTAAATATCTAATAAAAATAGTGAAAAACTTAAACCGCTTCATAACATAAGTGCTTCATAAACAGTCATCAACGAAAAATTTACCTTTCGGCTTTGTTTGATTAGGTAATTAACAACAAGTGGGTTGGGCCAGATGTCCGTGACACATCGAGGTTTTTCTTTTCCTAATTAAAATTATAATCATATGGCAGCTGCCCTGCCATTATCATGTGTATTACAACATGGTGTTTTGTGGCTTAAAATCTGCGACCCATCACACTTCATTAGATCATGGTGCAAAATTGTGTAAACATGCACATGAACATATATACTCGAAGGTCAGATAGTATCTAAAACATTATGGCTGCAAGTTCAAACAATTATTAATCATTTTTGGTCCGACTTCAAAGTTCGGATTAACTTAAGGCTTAATGAATAATGTTTCCGGAAAGAAGTCTCCAATTCCAGTTTGTCTTTAGCAAGTCATTTTCACTCAACTTGTCCTTTAAATCGATTAGAAATAGTCACTCACATTTGAATTTGATATTAAAGATATAAAGAATGAATGAAGACGATTTTTAATGTTTTAATGTCAACCTTGATACGAAAATCAATGGTGGATGATATCGAATCTTTAGTCACTAGATGATCAATAGAATGAACTCCTAAACTGATATCTCATGCGGCAGCCATAAAGCTATTATTTTATTATTTTTTATGCATTACCTTTAGCAGGCCTTATGATTGGATCAAAGTGGCTCAAATAAACAACATATTGAGAAATTTCATTTTAGAACGTAATCTTTACTTCTTTCAAAATGCTTTCACATTTCAAATTAATAAGACAGATGATACGAATTGCGCTTATTTTCCAACATATGATATTATTTTTCTTTAAAATTGGGTAAGGTTTGTGGAAGGAGCAATGGAGAAATTCATACAAGCAATCCTATGATTTCTCATTCAATTTATTAAATAAAATATCTTAAGTCAAACCATTCAACTCAACAGATATTTATGTATTTAGTTTATAAGAATTGCAGATATTAGTCCCATATGGTATGGACTATTGAGTCATCTTCATATTTGACTAATTAAGGAGTCAGGACATACATCTTACAACCATGAGGAGCAACATTTGCAGTCAGCCCAGTAAGCATGCTCCTTGAAACAAATGAGTGCTGCAAACAAATGACATTATGGTTTTCTATCAGTGAGGACTAAGATATAGTTCATCTATTTATACGACATTAAAGCATGATACTAGAAAGTCAATTTTTTTTATTGTGTTAGTCATACCGCCCATAAGTCTCTGACTGTAACAGATGTATTTGGCGAGAGTCCAACTTCCTTCCATGTCACAGTTATAGGAGCTAATGACCCGCCTCTATTCCACAACACTACCACCACTCTTTTATTTGATAATGGTCCTGCCCACACCTGCATCAAATTGAAATGCATCACATGCCTTGCAGCACAAGCATGATTAATCAGTAATCTAAAATAAATTGCTGAAGTGAAGGAGAAGGGCAGCATTTGCCACTGCAACGTACTTCTAGGTTATCTTTGGATCGCAGTTTCCCCGCTTGAACTCCGAGTGGATCCTGATTAACATCAATAACCTCTTTATTTCCAAGAATCTGAAGAGTTTCCTTGCTCGCAGATGGGATGTCACATCCGATAAGTAAAGGAGCCTGTTGCAAATATAGATTTGGGATCAGCGATAAATATAGTCAAACCAACGAACTGAAATTTGTATGGAAAGTGTGGAGAGTACATACTTTCATGACTGCCCAAATGCTAAAATGAGATCGGTACTCCTCTACACTCATCCCTCCATTTCCCACTTCCAACATGTCAGGATCTGTTACGATTACATTAAAATTCAAATAACCATCCAAACAATTTTGTTTAACAAAGATAAGAAAACAAGACAGTAAAAAGCATAAAAGTTTACCGTTCCACTTGCCAGGGCCTGCATATGTCTTCCAAATGTTGTTTTGATCTGCAATCGACGTGATGCTGAAATCGTAACATAAATTAGATTAATTCAAAACAAACTAACATAATGTTTCAAGGTTAGAATTCTCTGTCATGTCAGGATTCAGCTTGAGATATTGAAAAAAGAAAGGAACTTTCGATCGAACCTTTCCCAAGTGTCCCTAATGTCTCCCGTAGTTCTCCACACATTGCCATACTGACCAGCCCATTTCGCAGGATCCTCTTGTCCCCTTTAAGAACATATTTCTCTATCAAAGTTTTGTTTGTCAAAGCCAAACAGTTTCTAACTTTCTAGTGATGCAAACAGAGTATTATTTGAAGAAGTATATATAATGATTTCATGAATTACAAGTGACTTGCCATTCGCATATGGAGTACAGGATTGGCCTTCCAGCCTTTCGCAATGCAGAACTCATTATAGGATATCTGATTTGAGGTTTAGAACCATCATTGTAGCAGTTATCGTACTTCAAATAATCGACACCCTACAGCCAAATGCCGTATCAGCTCAAGTTCATCGTCTCTATAAAATTAGTTGTGTTGATGTTTCGTCTAAACTAGAAGACAAAACAAACTACTCATCTTAGCAAACCATACATGTAAACGCAGAAAAGTATCAGACACAAACCCATTCAGCAAAGGTTCTTGCGTCTTGCTCTTCGTGCCCAAGTGAGCCTGGCATTGTGTTGCTGCAAGTATAATAACTAAAAAAAGCGGAAAGATGAGAAATGAGACATCGAGTGCTATTTCAGATAAACAAAATTTTCGGAGATAATTTTTTACCCAGCATCAGAGTATATGCCGAGTTGTAAACCCTTTGCGTGAACATAATCAGCAAGGGCCTTGATTCCAGATGGAAAAGTTGACGATTTTGCAATTAGGTTACCACTACTGTCTCTGTTTCTTTCAGCCCAACAATCATCTGCTTTTTTAGTTCTCATCAATATATAACAAGAAAAAAGCTCATTCAGAACCAAATTAACCAAGCAAATGACGTGAGGATGCTGACCTATATTGACATATTTGTATCCGAGTGCTGCCAAGCCAGTTGAAACAAGAGCATCCGCTGATATATGGTAAAAAAATCAAACAAAATCGCAACGATTAATGCCGAAATACAGAGAGCTTGGATTCCCAATTTGGCTACTAGTAACTACTAGAAACATAGTGTTATGAGATGGCTAGCAAAGACCAGATCATGCATTTGCTTATATCAATGTAACACAACGCAAAATGGTGCATCATGACTGAAGTCGCAAGAAGCGTTGAAGCCTTGAAGGAAATATGGAAGTCTAGCAAAAGTAGTTCAAATTATTTGGGTTTCTTCAGTTATTGTCAATTGGTTATGGGTAAGATGTTCATATTACCAAAGCAAGTACTGCAACTGTACAAATGAAGCATAATCTGAAAGTACTTTACCAGTGGTCTTCACTGTGGCTTCATTTATATTGCATTGGAAGTGATTCCAACTGTTCCAACTGCGTCGAATTTCCAAAAGTTAGCTTACCAAATTGAAAAAAAAGGCAATTCCTTTTCACCTAAAACTTTGAAAACTTGATGTCTTACCCCATTGGAGGTGTAGTAGCAACGCCATTGGCAAGGAGGAACCGACCGTATTCTGCTTGGTGAGTACTATTCTTCAAGTTCAGAGCATCAATCACATTGAAAATACACGAGATAACAAAGAGCAGAACAAAGAGTGAGCTCCTGCGTTTCCAATCCATTGGGATCTCTGATCCAAGAGCTCTAAAGAGAGTGAGGAGGGATTTTGAGTGTGGCGGAAGTTTTTAATGCGAAAGTGGGGGAATACAGACAGATAACGCCATATTTATACAATTAATATGGGGTTGGCTGTACCGACACAACCTACTAAGATTCTTTTAGTAAGAAATTATAATAAGGATGCTACAATTGTATTTTTTAAGTATAAATGGACATATCCTTATATGTTATTAATAAATTTAATTAAAAAAAATAAATATGGGGTTGGATGTACCGACAAAACCTATTTAGATTCTTTTAGTAAGAAATAAGGAAGCTAATTGAAATTTTAAGGTGTAAATGGGCATTTATTTATATGGTATATTAGTAAATTTAATTAAAATTAAAAAAAATATGGGGTTGGCTGTACTGACACAACCTACTTAGATTTTTTTAGTAAGAATAACGTTATAATAAGGATGTTAATTGTATTTTTTTTTAAGTATAAATGGACATTTTTATATGGTATATTAGTAAATTTAATTAAAATTAAAAAAAAATGAGGTTGGCTGTACCGATACAACCAATTTAGACTCTTTTAGTGAGAAATAACGTTATAATAGGGATGCTAATTGTATTTTTTAAGTATAATGCACATTTACTTACATATTATATTAATAAATTCGATTAAAATTAAAAAAAAAAAATCGTCTAGCTAGATTTAGGAGTTCTTTCTTAATTTTCAAATGCTTGTGATTAATTAGGGTTGTGGCCAGCCACATAGTGTCTAGGCAGACAGGGATTTTTAGAATAGTGAAAATACGTTGCAATGTCAGACCTCCCGTCTGCTTGCCCGTCAATTTATCTATTAACTACTAAAGTGGTAGGTACAGAGCAGACACTCACCCCAAACACAAAAATGTAATTTACTAAACCTAGTACAAAAATAATTGTGCAATTGTCCCAATCTTGCAAATGCTTTAGCTGTCATTTTTTTTTTTTTCAAGGAAACAATTGCTTTATTTTAATAAAACTCAATTACACAGGAGAGTCTTGGATGACACCGTTGCATGTAATATTATATTAGTCGGGTCCTCAAATCTAACTATATCATTACCAATTGAAATGGGGGTTAGATGCATATTTTATGTTTTCCTGCTGATATAATTTTGTTGAGTGCAGATTTGAGTCAGACTCGTCGATGAAGACAATGTGTCAATCTCATTAAACCTAAATTCTCATAATCTTCTTTATAACTTAAAAAAATAAATTGTATTTTGTTAAACACGAGTGTACAAAAAGCTAAGTATTGCACATGATGTTAAACATATTGATCATAGCATGACACAAGTGAAAAAAAGTGATATAACTTAGAGAAATGTTGTGAAGACTCTCTCAAAAGTAAGATCCTCTATGAACTTTTTTACCTTATATTTTTGACACACTGTGTTTTATAACGTGAACACGAAGATTGATGTTAAATTGAAAGTTGCAGAAAGTCTATAAAAAGACTCATTTAAAAATATTCCCTTCGTATTTTCTAAAACTTAAGTGAACAGAGCATGATAGCATCACACAGGTCCTCATCAATTCAGATAGCGCATTCAAAGTAACTAGACACGTATTGAGGCTTTGAGGCTACGCAAAGGCACAAAGAAACCAGTGACTTGAAATACAATACAAAATCAAAAAAATGATCAAATGGTCCTAAAAGATCTTGCCTCCACACGAGGTAAAGTGGATGTGCATAACAGAGACTGAATCATGATTTTTTTTTAAAAAAAAATTCTGTTACTTTGTTTCTTCCTTTAAATTGTTTGGAGTTGTTTTAACTTTTAACAATTCTTCAAATGAAGAGGGAAAAAAATGGGAATTATTATCGGATTTTAAAATCATATATTTGCACATTGCGCTCATCCTTCAATTTGTACAAATATTATTTTGAAACAGAATGCTGCCATTTAACCTCAATTTAGAGAGGTGATTTGTAAGGTCGTTAGTAAATTGAGTCAAAATTTTGATGCCTTTCGGTGGAGGCCGATTTTGTCACATCCCGGTCTGGGCGGGACCACTTTCCGGGCCTTGACTTCACCGTAGCACGATATTGTCCGCTTTGGGCCCCTAGCACACCCTCACGGTTTTGTTTCTGGGAACTCACACGAGAATTTCCCAATGGATCACCCATCCTGAGAGTACTCTTACGCGCTCCTCGCTTAACTTCGGAGTTCCCATGGAACCCGAAGCCAGTGAGCTCCCAAAAGGCCTCGCGCTAGGTAGGGATGAGAATATACATTTAAGGATCACTCCCCTGGGCGATGTGGGATGTCTCACAATCCACCCCCCTTAGGAGCCTGACGTCCTCGTCGGCACACACGCGACCAGGGTTAGGCTCTGATACCAATTTGTCACATCTCCCGGGCCCTGACTCCACCGTAGCACGATATTGTCCGCTTTGGGCCCCCAGCACACCCTCACGTTTTTGTTTTTGGGAACTCACACGAGAACTTCCCAATGGGTCACCCATCCTGGGAGTGCTCTCGCGCGCTACTCGCTTAACTTCGGAGTTCCCATGGAACCCGAAGCTAGTGAACTCCCAAAAAGCTTCGCGTTAGGTAGGGATGTGAATATACATTTAAGGATCACTCCCCTAGGCGATGTGGGATGTCACAATCCACCCCCCTTAAGGGCCCGACGCCTCGTCAGCACACACGCGACCATGGTTAGGTTTTGATACCAAATTGTCACATCCCAGCCCGGGAGGACCACTTACCGGGCCCACTCCACCACTGTAGCACGATATTGTCTGCTTTAGGCCCCGACCACGCCCTCACGGTTTTGTTTTTTGGAACTCACACGAGAACTTCCCGATGGGTCATCCATCCTGAGAATGCTCTCGCGCACTACTCTCTTAACTTTGAAGTTCCCATGGAACCCGAAGCCAGTGAGCTCTCAAAAGGCCTCGTTCTAGGTAGGGATAGGAATATACATTTAAAGATCACTCCCTGGGCGATGTGGGATGTCACAGATTTTGCAATTACTGTCTAACTGATACTACATAGTACTACTTGGTGCATTGATTCAAGCTTGTCGTACGATGTTACTGTCTAATTGGAAATGAAATATATGACATACCTATCATGAGATGAATTTTGTGGTTGATGAGTTGGCCGACCTAAGCCTGTCTTATCCATTGAGTTTGATCTATTTTGAACAAGTTACATCTTCTTGTAAGCAGCTATTATTGTCTAACATTAGACCTCGCGATATTATTTTGCAATTTCTCTTTTGTTGGGCTATTAGCCCCTTTGTTTAACAAAAATAAAATAGCATTATTCTTTTGCCTTAGAGCATACGGATCCAGAAATCTGGGCCAACCGAGAAAGAGATCAAAGCGTGGGTTTATGTGTGGTGCGTCAATGAATAAGCTAATGAAGACTGCATAATTTAAATTGAATGATCTGAATTATGAAATCCATCTGCTCTAGAGGTAGAGATCTAGTGATGATCTCATTTCCCTTTTTAGAATAACAATTCGTAGAAAACACATAAATGTGAAGGAGAGGAGACCTTGTCCTTGTGCAAACTGTTTTTCCTTTGTTTAGGCTGGGGGCCTGTAGCACAGTACGTACTTTAGATATTAATTACTATTTAGACCCGATTTTACAATATCGACCCAAGCAATCGAGACCGTTAAATAAGAGGTTCTAGACTGTTAGATTTCATATTTTTCTAGATATTACCAAAAGATAATTGAAATGGCGATGTGGTGTGATCAGATGGGTTTTGAAGAGATAAGAATTGGTAAAGAATGAAAGAATATTCCTTTTGTTTTCCTATTTGATCAAAACAACAATTTGCATGCAAATTGAATGCTTGTCAGATAAGGGAATAAGGAAAATAAAGATGAGAATAAAGAGTCAAATGATGGAGTTACATGCAGACGTGTGGGTCTAGGTCTGAGATGATGCGATTTCATTGGTGAATAAGGCTCCAGGAAAGCTTTGAAGCTTTAATCACGTGGAAGGCTTTATAGTTTTGAAGTTTTCGACGTTATCTTTAAGAAATTGGGAGGCATATGCATTGAATTATCTTGAAGAAAGTGGACAGCGGAACTTGAAATAGAGTTTGAATACAGGATGATGTTCTCTATTGTTGGACTGTTGATTGGACTCTACAAGCACCATCAGGCTGTGTCAAGCAGATATCCAACCTTATAAATACAAGATTTAGTGTATCATTCAAACCCCCTTCCAAATCAACACATAAATTGCCCTGCGCAAAGCTTCTCAACAACCTAAGATTTTATCATTCTCCCCTTTCTTCTCGCCAACACATCTTCAGTTTGGATAAACAACACTGTGAAGGTAACCGGCGACATCTTCAGTTTGGATAAACAACACTGGAACCGTAGAATCAGCTGACCGAGAACCACCTTCAGTTTGAATAAATAGCACTGCTTCGAGACCGACTGAATATTTATCCAAGTCTCGGTCAATAAGGATTTCCGAGTCCTTGTTGGTATAGGTCATCTCATCAGCCTTCTCGGCGAAGTAAAGTGTTACTAAGTTACTACATTCGGCACATTGAAAGCCAAATTTGAAATTGAATTTCACAGAACTAGCAGCCTTGTCTTCAGGCTCTAGTACCCGAAGGTCGAGACGTGTTCCTTCCTTGGCCACAGTCGCAAGATCAAGATGTCAGCAGCGCGCTCAACGCGACATTAGCATATTTTACTCGCCGGCAGAACTCGGACGACAAGTTGGCACGCCCTGCATAATAACCAAAAGAAGTAGTTAGCTCATTAGTTACTTGGTCTGCGCACCACGTAAGCTTAGTAGTTTTTAAGGTTAACAATTACTCTTACTTTAAAACAAAAGGAAATTTCCACAGAAATAGAATACTACATGTGCTTTATAAAAGATTGTACATGTCCTGTACATTTAAAAATCATATATGGTTTGGCCAGACAATGAAAATTGTTGACAAACATCTGAGATAATCTCAATAATTTTCTTTGTCCCGCCAAAGTATATATGATTTTTAAACATCTGAGATCAATTCATCCATCCATCCATATTCATATCCTTCATTTGGCTTCCATAATTTCCATCTCCATCCCAATCTACAATCAATTTTAATCGTGAACTGTTGTTGTCTTCAACTACGATCGGTAAGCTGTTTTCAAATGGAAGATTAAGGTGCTGGTTTCTGGCAATAGTTGGTGGTGGATGTTCGTAATCGTTGTGGAGAGCTATTCCGACGCTTTCAGTAGTGAAGTTGGAAGGAAGCAGTTAGGGTTAGGTTATGTAGTTTTTCTTTTTTAGGCCCAAAACATAGGTTATTATTGAGGTCCATTCTTTTGTTTGTGTGAATGTTGTTGTTACGCCTCTAATTAGGTAATATAGTTGTTTTTTTTTTTTTTTTTTGTTAATAGAGTAACCCTTGACTGAAAAACAAAGAAAAAAAAAAAGGGAAAATTGTTGAGAAGTTTCATTTGCTTGGAAATGGATGGTGACTGACTGGTGGTGCGAGTTGAAGAGGATGAAATTCCGGTGCAGTCAATTCAATTCAAGGTTAATTTTTCCAAACAACACATTTATATATTTATCTTAATTTCTGTAGTAGTGCTGCTCCTCTATGTGGCGGGCGGCGGTGCTGGGTTTCTTTTGCTTGCTAGGTATACTGCTCCGCTGGCCACTGATAGCTTCTTGGTAAATTCCGTGCTATTTCTTCCGCATCTTAGTTTGGATGTCATTTGCCCCACTTTTGTCTTTCTTCAATTCAATAATGCTAAAATGTTATTGCTACCATTAAAATATATGGAAAACTAATCAAAAAAGTTTGAAAACTTTAAGTTTTAACGATAAGGACAAAATAAAAGGTAAAGTGAATAGTATCAGGATTGACTTTTTAGTGTAAAAATATGATTTTTCGTTAAAGTGAACAGTACCGGGATCCTTTCTTTAAAGTTCCTTAAAATATATCCATTGTGACTTTGTACAATAAGTTTAACTGACTAAAAGCAATCTTAATATTAATATATATGTATATAATTATTCGATTAGTCTATGTTAGTGAGAAATATTTCAAAACTCAAGCTGTATATAAAATTAAAATTGATTACCTATATTTCAAAAATCAGATTATACAAATTTGTGCTTATTTTCCAAGAGATTGTATTATTTTTCCTTAAAATGGGGTAAGGTTTCTAAAAAGAGCAATGGAGAAATTCATACAAGCAATCCCATGATTTCCCATTCAATTTATTAAATTAAATATCTTAAGTCAAACCATTCAATCCAATAAATATTTACTTATTTATTTATTAAGGAATCAGACTTGAAGTTTCTTTTGCTTGGAAATGGATGGTGGCTGACTGGTGGTGCAAGTTGAAGAGGATGAAGTTCCCGTGCAGCCAATTCAATTGAAGGTCAATTTTTCCAAACAACTCATTTATATATTTATCTTAATTTCTGTAGTAGTACTGCTCTGCTGGGCCGGGGGTGGCGGTGCTGGGTTTCTTTTGATTGCTGGGTATACTGTTCCGCTGGCCATTGATAGCTTCTTGGTAATCACAGTATAAGTTCTGTCCTATTTCTCTTCGTATCTTCGTTTGGATGTCATTAGCCCAACTTTTTTCTTTCAATTTAATATGCTAAAATGTTATTGCTACTACTAAAATATATCCATAGTGACTTTGTCCAATAAGTTTAACTTACTAAAAGCAATCGTAAGATTAATATGTATGTATATAATTGTTTGATTAGTCTTGCTTCCGTTAATAGTCAATTTAGTGAGAAATATTTCAAAAATCAAACTGTATATAAAATTAAAATTCATTCCCTATATTTCAAAAATCAAATTATACAAATTTGTGTTTATGTTCCATGAGATTATATTATTTTTCCCTAAAATGGGGTAAGGTTTCTAAAAAGAGCTATGTAGAAATTCATTCAAGCAATCCCATGATTTCTCATTCAATTTACAAAATATATCTCAAGTCAAACCATAAAATTCAACAGATATTTATTTATTTAATTGATTAAGTATTTGAAGATATTAGTCCCATATGGTATGGGCGATTGATTGATTCATCTTATACTTCGTATTCCGGACTAATTAAGGAGTCAGGACATACATATTACAACCATGAGAAGCAACATTTGCAGTCAGACTAGTATGCATGTTCCTCGAAATAAATGAGTGCTGCAAACAAATAACGTAAGGGTTTTCTGTCAGTGAGAACTAAGATATAATTCATCTATTTATACGATATTAAAGTATGATAGTAGAAAGAAATTTTTTAATGTGGTAGTTCTACCGTCCATAAGTCTCTAACAATAACAGGTGTATCTGGCGAGAGTCCAATTTCCTCCCATGTCACAGTTATAGGAGCTAATGACCCGCCTCTATTCCACAACACTACCACCACTCTTTTCCCTGATAACGGTCCTGCCCACACCTGCATCAAATTGAAAGTCATCACATGCCTTGCAGCACAAGCATGATTAATCAGTAATCTAAATTGCTGAAGTGGAGGAAAAGGGCAGCATTTGCCATTGCAACATACTTCTAGGTCATCTCTGGATCGCAGTTTCCTCGCTTGAACTCCGAGTGAATCCTGATTAACATCAATAACCTCTTTGTTTCCGAGAATCTGAAGAGTTTCCTTGCTCGCAGATGGGATGTCACATCCGATAAGTAAAGGAGCCTGTTGCAGTCATAGATTTGGGATCATCAGTATATATGGGCAAGTCAAACCAACAAACTGAAATTTATTTAGAAAATGTGGAGAGTACGCACTTTCATGACTGCCCAAATGCTAAAATGAGATTGGTACTCCTCTACACTCATCCCTCCGTTTCCCACTTCCAACATGTCAGGATCTGTTACGATTACATTAAATTTAAAATAATTACCCAACAATTTTTTTTAACAGAGATAAGAAAACAGGACAGTAAACAACATAAAAATTTACCATTCCACTTGCCAGGGCCTGCATATGTAGCCCAAATGTTGTTTTGGTCTGCAATCGACGTGATACTGAAATCATAACATTAATTAGATTAATTCAAAGCAAACTAACAAAATGTTTCAGGGTTAGAATTCTCTGTCATATTAGGATTCAGCTTGACATCTTGAAAGAAGAAAGGAACTTTCGATCGAACCTTTCCCAAGTGTCCTGAATGTCTCCCGTAGTTCTCCAAGCATTCCCATACTGACCAGCCCATTTCGCAGGATCCTCTTGTCCCCTTTAACAACATATTTCTCTTATCAATTTTTTGTTTGTCAAAACCAAACAGTTTTTAACATTCTAGTGATGCAAATAAATGTATTTTGGAAACAAATTTAAAGCGGAATATATACAATGATTTGATGAAGTACAAGTGACTTGCCATTCGCATATGGAGTACAGGATTGGCCTTCCAGTCTTTAGCAATGCAGAACTCATTATAGGATATCTGATTTGAGGTTTAGAACCATCATGGTTGCAGTTATCGTACTTCAAATAATCGACACCCTACAGCCAAATGCCCGTATCAGCTCAAGTTCATCGTCTCTATAAAATTAGTTGTGTTGATGTTTCGTCTAAACTAGAAGACAAAACAAACTACTCATCTTAGCAAACCATACATGTAAACGCAGAAAAGTATCAGACACAAACCCATTCAGCAAAGGTTCTTGCGTCTTGCTCTTCGTGCCCAAGTGAGCCTGGCATTGTGTTGCTGCAAGTATAATAACTAAAAAAGCGGAAAGATGAGAAATGAGACATCAAGTGCTATTTCAGATAAACAAAATTTTCGGAGATAATTTTTACCCAGCATCAGAGTATATGCCGAGTTGTAAACCCTTTGCGTGAACATAATCAGCAAGGGCCTTGATTCCAGAAGGAAAAGTTGACGATTTTGCTATTAGGTTACCACTACTGTCTCTGTTTCTTTCAGCCCAACAATCATCTGCTTTTTTAATTCACGTCAACATATCATACAATATAACAAGCAAAAAGTACATCCAGAACCAAATTAACAAAGGAAATGATGTGAGGATGCTGCTGACCTAGATTGACATAGTTGTATCCAAGTGCTGCCAAGCCAGTCGAAACAAGAGCATCCGCTGATATATAGTCCAAAATTCATACAAGACCGCAAAGGTTAATACCGAAATACTCTTTATAAGAACCTTGGATTCACAATTTGGCTACTGGTAACTACTATAAACATAATATTATAAGATAGCTAGCAAACACCAGACCATGCAGGTCTTATATCAATGTAACACAACACAAAATGGTGCATCATGACTGAATTAGCAAGAAGGAAATATGGAAGTCTAGCTAAAGTAGTTCAACTTTTTTGAGCCTCTTCGGCTATTGTCAATTGGCTATGGTTGGATACTCGTATTAAAATGAGTCAACTGATAAAACATATTAAAAAAGCAAGAAATGGAACTGTACAATATATATACTATTGTGATATTGTGTATGTTGAAGAGAGAAAAATGATCGGAATACAAATAAACAGTAGTCTGAAAGTACTTTACCAATGGTCTTCACTGTGGCTTCACTTATATTGCAGTGGAAGTGATTCCAACTGTTCCAACTGAATCCAATTTCCAAAAGTTAGCTTACCAAATTGAAAAAAAGGCATTTCCTTTTCACCTGAACTTTGAAAATTTGATATCTTACCCCATTGGAGGTGTACGAGCAACGCCATTGGCAATGAGGAACTGACCGTATTCTGCTTGATGGGTATTGTTCTTGAAGTTCAGAGCATCAATCACGTTGAAAATACATGTGACAACAATGAGCTGAACAAAGAGTGCGCTCCTGCCTTTCCAATCCATTGTGGTGTCTGATCCAAGAGCTCTGAAGAGGATCAAGAAATGAGTTTGGGAAGAGTAGGAGTGAGGAGGGAATTTTGAGTGTGGCGGAAGTTTTATTGAGAAAATGGGGTTGGGGGGGTGCCAGTACCGACACAACCTACTAGATTCTCAGTAAGAAACAACATTATAATAAGCATGCTCCACAAATATTCTTTAGGTTTCATACAAAATTTAATCAACAGGTAAATGTTGGGTTACATAACATATTCATGTCTTATCTTTTAAACATTGTAATGCTACACATCAACTTACGACTTCGTTGCAGTATCAAACTTCTGTCTTTTTATCTATTAATTTATTTGTTAATTGTTAAAGTGACAGGCACGGCACACTTTCTCACCAAACACAAAAATAATTATATGATTGTCCTATTTTACAAATGCTTTAGCTGTCATATTTTTTTTTATAAAGGAAACGACAGCTTTATTTTAATAAAACTCAATCACATTATTAGACGGGTCCTCAAATCAAACTAGATCATTACCAATTGAAATGGGGTTAGATGTATATTTTATGTTTGCCTACTCATATAATTTTGTTTTGAGTGCACATGAGTCATACTTATAGACCAAGACAATGTGTCAATCTCATTAAACATAAATTCATATAATCTTTTTCTATAAAAAAATAAATTACGCTTTGTTAAAAATAAACACTAGTGTACAAAAAATTAAAGCGCGAGGAGAAGAATCTATAAAGGCATAAAGAAACTAGTGGCTTGAAATAAAATAAAAAATAAAAAAACTGATCAGATAGTCCTAACAATTACTTTGTTTCTTCCTTTAAATTGTTTGGAGTTGTTTTAACAACTCTCCAAATGAATAGGGGAAAAATGGGAATTCTTATTGGACTATAAAATCGTTATATTGCACATCGCACTCATCCTTCAATTAGTACAAAATTATTATTTTGAAACAGAATGCTACTATTCAACCTCTATTTAGAGAGATGATTCGTTAGGTCGTTAATAAATTGAGTCAAAATAGTGTTAATTTTTTCAAAAATGTTATTAGCACACTAAAAATCTCATTTTACACTTTCTTGTAATTATATCTTTCTTTCTAATTATAGAAAGTTTGGAATACCAAATAAGATTTTTAGAATGTTAATAACAATTTTTTTTTTTTTAATGATGAGATCATCTTCGGATAGACGGGCCCGAAAGTCCGAGCCATGATTTGTAGTGATGAGAATCATGACATCATCTCCGGATAGATGGACCCGGAAGTCCAAGCCATGAGAGAGAGAGGGAGAGAGAGAGATTAGGGTGTAGGTTTGTGTGTGTGCTGGACTATTAAAATGGATGGACGAAGTCCAAGCCATGAGAGAGAGAGAGAGAGAGAGAGAGAGAGAGAGAGAGATTAGGGTGTGGGTTTGCGTGTGTGCTGGACTATTAAAATGGACTAATGAAAACTACAAAATATAAATTAAATAGTTTGGATTTTTGAGTCCGTCTGGAAAGAGAGATCCTGAGTTGATTTCATTTCTTTTCTGGAATAACAGTTCCCAGAAAAAACATAAATGTGAAACGAGGAGACCTTGCCCTTGTGCAGACATTTTTCCTTTGTTTATGCTGGAGGCCCATATCACAATACGTACTTAACATATTAATTTCTCTTTGTTCAAAGCAAATGAAATTTCCACAGAAATAGAATACTACGTGCTTTAAAAAAATAATTTGTAGATGTCTTGTACATTTAAAAATCCTAATTTGGCAGGACAAAAAAAAATTGTTGAGAAGTTTCTTTTGGTTGGAAATGTATGGTGGTTAGAGTTGAAGAGGATGAAATTCCGGTGCAGTCAATTCAAATAGGTGAATTTTTCCAAACAACACAGTTATATATTTATCTTAATTTCTCCAGTAGTTACTGCTCCGTTGGGCGGCGGGCGGCGCTTCTGGGGTTCTTTTGCTTGTTAGGTATACTGCTCCGCTGGCCACTGATAGCTACTTGGTAATCACAGTATAAATTCTGTGCTATTTCTTCCGTATCTTAGTTTGGATGACATCTGCCCAACTTTTGTCTCTCACTGTAATAATGCTAAAATGTTGTTGCTGCCCCTAAAATATATCCATTGTGACTTTGTCCAATAAGATTAACTGACTAAAAGCAATCGTAATATTAATATGTATGTATATAATTGTTTGATTAGTCTTGCTTCGTTAATAGTCCTTAATTTAGCGAGAAATATTTCAAAAATCAAACTGTATATAAAATTAAAATGGGAAATTTTATTTGAACTATCTAACATCTTTCTACACTCAATTTACTATCTTCACCCATATTGTTTTTTTATTAAAGAATTTATATCTCTTTAAACTCAAATTTATTACCTAAACTACCCTGTCAAACCCAATTCAAAATGTAAAATTATCCTTACACTCATTCCCTCTATAAAATAACATCTTTAATTGATTTTTTTTTTTTCAAACAGGCGTCATTTGCCCCTCTATAATTGCATATGCCGTATAGGACTATCTAGCATTTCCATGGCTGCTTTTTTTCTACCACAACCCATCCATGGACTTGGGATCCAATATATCATTCCATAGAATTGAATTTTCCAAGAGAATGTTATGCAAGCTCCAGTTCAATCCTTTTTAAATCAAGCATTTTCATGTACTTTTTAAGAAACTTTGAAGTGACATAGAGCTGGGTGTTTTGCTGCTATGTTAATAAACAAATAAACAAATTGGAGCTATTTCGAATAACAAAGGTGCAAGACATGCCACCCGCTAGTTCATGGTTAAGGTTGAGCAATCTTTATTTGCACCAAGAATCCAGTTTTATGTCTTTGTAGTACTAATCAAAAGTCCTTGCACTGATGTTTTGGGGTGCATACAGATAGTAGAGAAAAACAAATACAATATAATATGGGCAGTGTTATTGGCACTCAAAAAATCTCATTCTACACTCCTCACAAGTGTACTTTTCTTTCCAAATATAGAAAGTTTGGAGTGTGGAATGAGATTTTTGAAGTGCCAATAACATGTCCCTATAATATAAAAAGTATGAAATTTAATCCAATGAAGAAGCAAACAAACAAAATATCCATAAATCGAGTCATACCTTAGCTGGAGGATTAAAAACTTCAAAATCACCATCCATCAATACAAAAGCTTGTTTTTCTCTATCAGAGTTATTAGGGTCTTAGTCGGATAAACAAAAGGTGATGCTATGGTTTAATTATAGTATGTAGGTCTATTGATAAATTTGATTTTTAATAGTAATTTCATTTGTACTTAATAGTAATTATGCAATAGAATAAATTAGACAATTAACATTTAAAATTTAAGTTGATTATAAAAAGAGGTTATTAGATGAGTTTAAATAAAATTTCCCAATTAAAATTCATTACCCACATGGTCTTGAAGATTTGAGTTACTTGACTTTCTTTGTGTTTTCTTGCCGTTTTCAGAGAATTTTCACACGTTTTGGTTGAGTAAATTGAAATAAATTGTTATTGAAAAGACTAGCATCCCACATTTTTATACGCATGTCAAAGTCCAAAAAAGTTATTCTTATCACCTAGTTGTACCATTTTTCTAACAAAAATGGAACCCACATGTGTAGGTAGGTCCTATCTCTATTAGAGAGATGGTACAAATAGATGGTAAGTGTAACATTACCCATTAAAGTCTGGATCTGCATGACTTGTAATCGCACATGAAAAATTCTAAGGAGGCTCTTTTAAAGTGAGACCATTCATGGACACTGTCATCTCACAATTTCACATTAATTTATGTGCTAACATTATAAAATATGCTGTAAAAAACATAAGGTAATAAAGAGTCCATAAAAATTCTCACTTTTAATAATCTCCTTTTAACATTTCTCATTACGCATTTCTTAACTAGCTAGTTGGGAACAAAAAAAGGTAGTTGGAAATCACATAATGTTTTTAGACCATAATTTGTAAATCACATAATGTGGCAATTGATAGTTAGGAGAGATTTTTCAGTGTGTCATATTGCCCGAACACCAAGTGTCATAATATAATTTGTGGGAAACTTGAAAAAAGATTCCAACAAATTGTATTATGACACTTAGTGTACTTGATTGTGGTTTTAGCACACTGAAAATTTTCTCCATGGTTGGTATACCTTGTTTAGTGATTTAGACAACAAATCCAATCATCAAAACGCCACATCATGTGGCATACAAAATATGGTTTAAGTAAATGGTCTCTCTAGCATCATCAACTAATTTATATTATTTGCAAGCCAACAACAACATAGTCAATTTGCAAGAATGATTTTTCTCCTTTTCTTGGTATTATGAGGAGTAAAGTTTAATTTTCCCTTGACCAAGTGTAACTTCTTTTTTCGTTATCCAAAAATGTACCCCTCGTATCATCAAGGTTTTCTAAAAATAAATAAATGCAAGAATGAAAAATTAATATCAAACAAACCACGAGAGCTGTTATTGACACACTTCAGAATGTTCATCATGCACTCTACCATATCTCTTATACTTTTTCTATAAAGGACGAGCTCGTAATGACTGAATTTTTCTTTCATGCATGTGTTCAACAAAACATGAGTGCATGATGGCTTATTTTTAAATAAACAGTCCCATAACCAAAATCTCATGTAAAATGTCATTTCACGAGGATGCATCTCAGTCTCGGATGCAGTACTTCTAACGTTTAATATGCAGTCTGATCTTGGTCCTTTTTATGTCATCTCCCATCAAGATTTCTTTGGATGAAACCGTTTGCTATGCTGATCATAACCAATTTTACTATATATTTGAGTCCAATTTGTTTGCGCACATTGTCTACAAAACCCCTGTTTCTATCAATCCATTTACGATGTTATATTGTCTAAAAAACTCCCATTTCTATCAATTGATTTACAATGTTACTATACTTTGTTTCTTTATCTTCTTTTCCTCTCTCAAACATGTAGAAAAGAGAGGATTGGATCAATGTAGCAAGATGAAAAGGAAATTAACAATTAGGATATAAGGAATTGAACTTCACATTCTTTTTAAGGAAGCACGAATTTGTTACAATTATAGTACATCTTTAATTACAATATATGGATAAAGATGTTTACCATTTATTGTATCATAACCAACGAAGGACAAATCTACAGTGTTAGAA